CTGATGCTGGTAGTAATCAGCATTCGGACTGGCCTTTGCTACATAAAGCTTAGCATCCTTTTTTCAGCTGACACAGGGAACATGATACGGCAAGGGAATGTCCAGCTATTTCGTGATGTTTGGAACCATGCACATAGTGGCAATATCCATAAACCTGATGTTTCTTGATAGACTGAATAAGAGTCTGAAACAAGCAGCAAAACTAAGTGATGGGGTCCTGAAGTGATGGAACAGAGAAGAGCCCTTCAAGTTGCAGGTAGGGATACTTTGTCTGAGTAAGACTCTTCTCAGCGAAGAAAAACAGCAACTTAAAGATTCTCCCTTATGAAAGTCTACATTTCCCACCAATTTCTAACTTTAGGCACATGCTGAAAAACTAACTATTTATGCTAGCGGTTTGTGATCAAAATTCTGTGTCATACATCACACCAGAGAAAGGATGATGGTATTACCAGCTGGGAGAGATTTTTGATCATTACAGACTTCCTCCTTCTGTCTAATGGCTTCCACAACTTCCACGCAATGAAATGCTACACTGGTGTCCTTACACAGCAATGCCTGGTAAGTAATTGGTACTCTTTGTAGAACATACTATATAATAAACCTGCACATACAGCCCAGTCCTATCTGTGTTCTTTGAAAGAGTCCCCTCTGAACTTTCTGGGATTTATTTATATACAGTACTTTAATTTATAAACCACCTTCCTGCACACATGGTAGCTAAGTTAGTGTTGTTACGTGTATTTTTATAAGCAAAGTCACTTCTGACTTACGGTGACCCTAATAAGGTTTTCGAGGTATGTGAAGTGTTCAAGGAGGGTTTTACTAATGCCACCCGCCCTTGAATTTCCATTACCGAGTAAAAGACTGTAGAATCCTAGTCCATCCGTTACTCCACACTGTTTTACAGAAATAGTAAGAATGTAAGATGATACTTTTAAATAAAGCAAGACAAAAAATGCAAGCAAAACGAATAAATAATGAAACATTGATAAGATGTGTTGTTAAGTGCAAGCTGTATTTTGTTTGTTTCCAAAGGGCCAGGATATACATGTTAATACCATTATGGCAACTATCACAAAATTTGCTGTGCACCTGGGAGAAATTTGAACCACGTCACCTTGAAACCTGGTTCCTTCATTCTCCAGATATTCTCGTGCCAACAAATGTAGTTATTTTCTACTTGTGTACACAGTATTTAACTCTCCATTTACTTAAAATGTGTCCAGCAGAGGGCACTAGATTCAGTAACTCACAAAGCAATTCTAAGATTTGAAATGCTACTGAAGAGGTCCAACTCCAAAGAAACAGTGGTATAACCAAAAGGCAGCAAAATACATTTTTTTGATTAATTCACATTTCCCCTTAATTTCGGTGTCTCACTTCATTATGTCACTATGAAACTACACGTTTCCCTGAACAACCTGGAATGCCCTGGAAGCCAATGTTTATAACCACCACCACCATCATCATCTCAAACTGCAGAGTTGGAAGGGACCCAATATAGATCATCAAGTCCAGCTTCTGTCAAGGAGACACTGTGGAGAATCCAACTCCTAACCAGATACCAAAACAACTGAGCTATCCAGCAGATCTAGATAAATGTTATTAAAAATCGAATTGCAATCAGATTAAATAATAATGATCATGATAACACACCTAACATTTTAATCTATTGTCTGGATAACCTTTTTTGTTTCTTTAAAAAATCCAAAGGAAGTCATTGCACAATATAAATGTAGAAGAATGTGACACCTTTAGTTAGACCACCAAAAATCAAATAATTAATGCAAGCTTTTGTGGATTAATAATCCCTTCATCAGGCATGTACCATTAACTTCTGAGTATGCAGAAAAATTATGAATGAATGTTCCAAAACTTCATGGCTGTAGATGCCAGACGTATCCATTTAAAGCTGGTTACAGACAGACTTTTCTAAGAAAAGAAAAACAGTCTTTGTCTGCAATTTTACAATCCAACAGATACAAAATGCAAAAAGGAGCACGGGGTGGGGATTAAGGAAAGTTAGTACTGATTTTTTTTATTTTTTGTGCTTAAAATTAGTTACTCTAAAAGTATACAAAAACAACACCATATCGGGGGCGGGGGGGAAGGTTACAGGCAGAGTTTTCTTCTACTATGGCAATCCTTTTTTTTGAAAATGAAAACTGGAAGTGCCAATTTAAACATATATCTACTCATAGACAAATCGTGCTGAGTTCAGTGGTGTCTATGCATCACTTACAGACTTGTTCCTTCTAGTTTAAGATGCAACTCTATACCCACCTCACTGACACTGCAGCTTCAAAAAACAAGTGGCATTTCACCTTAGCTGTGGATATGTTTGCACTGTTAGGGGCATATAATTAAGAGTAAGAACTTTGGTTTCAAAGGATTAATCCCACACTTCCTATAAAATGTGAAGTGGAAGGAACGTCAATCAATAGTCAACACTTGGAGAGTCTATTACCCTGTACAACCAAGCACTTTTATAAGTCTAGTCAATATACAAGACTGTGAAGAGAGCTATGAATTAATACATACACTGAGCTAACAATCCCTGGATAATATTTGTTTCAATGCACTCTGGAACATCTTATTTCAGCTGTTTCTCCTTCCAATCTTGTTTTGTTGTTGTGAACTACCTTTGAAACCAACACGCTTGCTGTTAATTATCTGTGACAATAGATTTCATAAAAATATAAGGAAAGCAGACCACAAAGCATATATTCTCCAGTGTCTACATATGCCAGGAGTATAAGAAACAAACAAGAAGAACTGGAGATGTTAGTTAGAGAGGGTAAAAATGACTTGACAGGGATGTGAAACTTGGTGAAATGGCTCTACTTACTAGAATGTAAGGATATAAAATTCAACCCAGAGTGCTCACTTCAACCCAGAGTACTCACCAGGACAAATCCTGAAGCTGAGTCTCCAATACTTTGGCCATCTCAGGAGAGAAGAGTCCCTGGAAAAGACCCTGATGTTGGGAAAGTGTGAGGGCAAGAGAAGGGGACGACAGAGGATGAGATGGATGGACAGTGTCATTGAAGCTACCAACATGAATTTGACCAAACTCTGGGAGGCAGTGGAAAACAGGAGGGCCTGGCGTGCTCTGGTCCATGGGGTCACGAAGAGTTGGACATGACTTAACGACTAAACAACAAAACCCTGATGTTGGGAAAGTGTGAAGGCAAGAGAAGGGGATGACACAGGATGAGATGGTTGGACAGTGTCATTGAAGCTACCAACATGAATTTGACCAAACTCTGAAAGGCAGTGGAAAACAGGAGGGCCTGGCGTGCTCTGGTCCATGGGGTCACGAAGAGTTGGACATGACTTAACGACTAAACAACAAAAGGATATAAATTGTTCAAAAAGAACAGAAAGACAAGAAAGAGAGGTGGAATCAAAAATTCCTCCTTAGCAATACTACAAGTGAGAAGAATCTTGGAATTGTTGTAGATCACATGAGCCAATAGTGTGATGTGGCTGCACAAAAGGCAAATGCTTTTTCAGGCTGCATTGACAGAAGTATAGGGCTAGTCTACAAAGCTGGGTTGGAGCAGGCTGGAGTGAGCTAAATAGGGTCAATAGGAGGTCTGGTATACTGTACCATCTGGTGCGATCCTCACATCCCAATTGCATATGGACCTCAAGCAACCCTACTTGGTCAGATTTTCAAAAGTGTATGTGTATTAGATATATATATATTTAAGCAAGTGATCTTTAAGATAAGAGTATTAGGTCTTTTGGAGAGCCTGCCACAGCCTAACACATTTAATACCCAAAGACATTTCTTTCCCTTATCTTAAAGGGCTGGTTGAGAAACTAGCACAGCAGCAGATTCAGTTACAAGCAGTTTCTCGACGACAAAGCAAAGATGTTTTAAAATAAGTGACACAGAGCGTTTCTGTTGCTCTAGTGGAGGCTAATTTTTTTTTCACTTCCTTCACCCTTCCGGAGGAGCAAAGGAACTGTTTAATTAGCCAATATCCTGAAGTGGCTCTCTTAAGCAACATCATGATATTGGCAGATTTTTTTAAAAGGAAGGCTTTTGATTCGTTCCCACAGATCCCACGTGCTGGAAATGGACCAAAAACAGAATACTGTAATTCTACTCGCACCAAAGAAGTAGAAGCACTTGACAGGGGCCAGAAACCTGTGGGTAGGAATACCCTGGGGCTGGTTCTGTCTAGCAAAGACCTTGTTTTATTTGGCCTCCTCAGAGTCCTGCGTCCAGTTCTGGGCGCTGTGCTTTAAGAAGGATGCTGACAAATTGGAACAAGTTCAGAGGAGGGCCACAAGGATGATCAGGAAGCCCAGTGAGGAAAGTCTGAAAGAAATGGGTACCTTGAGCCTTGAGAAAAGAAGACTGAGGGGTGATAGAACAGCACTTTTTCAAATACTTGAAAGAGTGTCATAAAGCAGAGGAGCAATATCTGTTCTCCATCATCCCAGAGTGCAGGATATGCAACAAGGGGCTCAAATTTGAGGGATGATGGAGAGCAGGATCTGTTCTCCATCATCCCAGAGTGCAGGGATATATATGCTCCCTAAGTAATTTGAGCCCCTTGTTGCATATCCTTGCACTCTGGGATGATGGAGAACAGATCCTGCTCTCCATCATCCCTCAAATATATATATATAAGGAAATCTCTTAACTGTCAGAAAAGTATGACAAAGTATGACAATGGAACTATTTATAACGGGTCTCCAGTGCCCCCCAAACCCCACCTGTGTCGCCTCAGGTTGGCTGAAGGCTGCCCTGAGGGAACCTTTGGGGCCTCATGGGGGGAGTTGTGTGGAGGCCCTAAAAAGTCTCCATGACGCGCCCCCCCCCTCACGCGCGCGCGCTTTTTGAGGGAAAGGGGGCCACAACCCCCCCCTCAGAAAAGAGGCAGGGCGGCTACACAGCGCTCCTCGCCTCTTCCTCCACACACAACTCCCCCTCCCCGCTTGCGTCTCTGTGTGTGTGTTTGTGTGCCAGCCGCCCCAGGAAGCCGCGCTGAGGCGAGCGAGGCGCCTCGTCCGCAGCCGCGGCCGCCATGCATTGTGGGGCAGCGGCAGCAGATCCAAGATGGCGGCCAGCAGGAGGCTGATGAAGGTAACAGCCAG